CCCCAAAACCCCAAAACCCCAAAACCCCAAGGGAGAAGTAATAATTAAAACGAAAATGTGTAATGAGTTAGTATAAAATATTTATACAATATCCTCCAATTAAGTAGCGATAATGGTTATATATTTTTAATAGATTTACTCAATATTCTTCATATTCGCCTTCAGCGTACTGCTCGTCTTCATTCATAAGTTCAGAGTCACCTCCAATCTACTGAACTCCCTCAGCACCTCCGTCTCCGTCAGTAGTGCCAATGAAGTTTCCAGCAAGATCGTAGATGTTTCCTTGCATGTCCATAAGGAATTCTTCCTCTTCCCCTTCGATTTAGATTCTCTTGAGACCTTTCTTAGCGAGTTCATCGGGATTGTCGATGTCAATGACATCCTCCTCTTCTCCTTCAGCAGCGCCAGTTCCATCAGCCATCTCCTGTTGCAACTGAGACATCTGCTCTTCATCGTCTTCGTTGTCGAGATCGTTTTCAAAGCCACTCATTAATTATTGCTATTGTTGCTAATCGTTCTCGTCGAACTGCTGTTGACTGTCGTCGAAAGCGCCTTCTTCGTATTGATCATCTTCTTGTAGCTAGGAGTTGCTGTGCATTGAGTTGTTTTGCTCAAAGTTACCGCCTCTAACTTGCTTAATAGTGTTTCCTAGGTTTCTGATAGTTGAGCCCATCATCATCTCCTTGGTGAAAGCTCCAGTCTTGAGCAATTGCTCTAGATCCTGGTCGTTTTCCCCGAGAGCTCCTCTCATGTTAGACTGATTGTGTTGGATGCCTGATATTAATAGGTCAACTTCGGCTCCATTTGGGTCATCATCACGCATCGAGTCAATTCTTGACAGACTTTGGTTTTCTTGCTCCCTTATTTACTGAATGTTTTAGTGTTACGATACGTCAATTGATCGCTCAGAATCCATGGGGGATTCATCGTAATTCTTACCAAGATTGCCTTTGTTTTATTTGTTGATTTATTGTGGCTGCTGCTAGTACCCTCCCTTGAGCATCTATATGCTATTTTTACTGGAGTTATTATCAATTTAGCTGTTTTCCTTATCCTCCTAGTAAGCCGAGTTGTTTAGGGTCTTTACCATTCTTTCAACCAGACGCCTCACTTGATTTACTGAGACTACTTTTGGGTTTAAGTACATCTTATTTTTGTCTATAATTTCCTTGGTCACAGAGTCAATGTTGGCGTTCTTTGTCACAAAAGATAGAGAGATCTCATAGACAAAGTGAGTAGTGGGACAGTCTCGCATGTAGTACTAAATACCCAACTTTGGAGGACGATATTTTAGGCCGAAATTCACTGGGATCACTTCCATACTTTTACAAAGTCACAATTTCAAATATAACTTATAAGAATTTGAATTTAAATTTTATTATTCATTTCTTAACTGGTATTTGTGAATAGAGGGGTTTTGGGGTTTTGGGGTTTTGGGG